GAAATACAGTGAGTCATTTTCTTTCACATGACTATCAATTGTTTCGACATAATTTGCTAAACCCATTCTTTCTCCCCTAATTTGAAATGCAACTACCAAGTTCCCGTATGACAGTAGGGCTGTTTTGTTACACTGATGTAGTCATCTCTTCCTGTGCAGTACCAACTGCGCACAGTACTTTATAAATATATATCAGAGGGCAAACCTACCCTCATCACCTCCCCACCTCCAAATGCTTATTATCGTTTATTCTACACACTTTTCCAAATGAACTTTGGAATTCTTTTGTCAAATTCCCCAAAACCAGAGTTTTACAAAAATTGCACTGAATTTAGAGGTTTATTTTAGAACTGACATCGTCACAAAACTGAGGTTGGCTATCTAGAAACATGGGGGTCTCTTCACCGATGCAAGTTTTCTTACCTGTCCAGCAGTAAACATTTATAATTTTCTTCACACATTTCTTGTTAACTGTTTTCCTAGGTCCTTTAAGTTTTTGTTGCCAGTATAAGTGATTTTTTTCATTACATTTTCCAATGGATGGTTATCGTTATATAAAAAAGCTTTGCTACTGATGACTTCACTGTACTCGTAGTCTAATAGTTTTTCTGTTGATTCAGTTAAGGTGTCTGAAAACAAAACCAACTGTGGTATCTCCTGGCTGGAAATCCCTTAGTGTCTCCATGCCCTCCAGGACAAAATTTAACCCCTTTTTATGACGCCCAACCCTTCCTGACCTGGCCCTTATACCCCTCCAGCATTCTCCAGCATGACTCTACTGTCCAAGCCGGTACACTTTCTTAAGGTACCTTGGACAGGCCGTGCATTTTCACACCTTTACACCTTTGCATGTGTTGTTCCCTCTGCCTGGAATTCCCTCCCCCATCTCCCTCCTCCACTCACCTTTCCTTTAACTTTTTCTTCCAACTTAGTCCAAGCTCACTTCCTTAGGGAAGCCTCCCCTGACCGCCCATCCCAGGCTGGGGACAGCACCCCACTACTCTCCCAGCATCTTTCTGCTTGCCTTATTGTGGCTCTGCCCCCACTTTTTCCTGAAAGGAACATATGCTCATTTGGAAATGAATAAAGAACCCAAAAAGAGAAAGCGCCATCATTCCATCAGCAACTTGTTTTAATAATTTAATAGAACCGTCCTCCCTCGCGTCCTGGGGGTCTCGGATAGGTCTCCCGCCCAGGTGTCGAGCCCAGCTAGGAGGAGGCCCTCGAAGCGAGCAGACCGGGGGCCAGGAGCCGCAGCGCAGCTCCACACCCCGCCGGGGACAGGCTGCAAGCCGCTCGCGGTGCCCCCGCCGGGGTCGGATCGACGGGAAATGGCCCCCCAGCAGCGCCCCGATCCAGGTCGCTTCTCCTTTTCCTTCTCAGCGCTGATCTGGGCGTTTCACGCACCCCGGTGATTCTTCTGGCCCGGGGCTCCGGGCCTTTGTTGCACACACTGCCCAGGAGCCATGTTTGCTGCCAGGGCGCGGGCGCGGCCACTCGCCTCCGCCTCCCTGCTCCGCCCACGCCGCCTGCCTCGGCCGCAGGGCCCGGGCCTCCACTCTCCCAGTCTGCGCGATCAGGTAATCCTGGGGTGCGGTACCTGCAGCTCGCCGCTCTGGTTACGGGCTCATCCCAGAGCATCGGGGTGCCGTGGGGAAGCTCAGACTCGCCCTACACCCCTGGGGTCCGGGTCCCAGCAGGGCCTGCCACCCCCCAGGCTGTCCCGCAAACCCCACCGAGGGGAGGGAGCGCGCCGCCACCCCCGCTATCCCGCCCCTGCCGCCGCCCCTCCGCCGCGCTCTCCCCTCCCCCACCGCCCCGGGCCGGGCGCGCGCCCACCGGAAGAGGCGGGGCTCGGCGGGCTGCAGGCGGCGTGATTGGTCGGGGCGGGCCTGACGCCCGCTCCCGCTATAAAGGCCGGGTGGTGGGACGCTGCGCCACAGTCTTCGCGGAGAGCCGCCGTGGTTTCCTGCTTCAACAGTGCTTGGACGGAACCCGGCGCTCGACCCATCCCCCTCAGCCACCTGACCGCCTTCGGCCACCTCCTCACCGCGCCTCGGACCTCCCCAAGGCCCCGCTCCAGCGCCGCGCAGCCGCCCCTCTCAGCCGCCGCCATGACGTCCACCGCGTCCGCCTCGCAGGTGCGCCAGAACTACCACCAGGACTCGGAGGCCGCCATCAACCGCCAGATCAACCTGGAGCTCTACGCTTCCTACGTCTACCTGTCCATGGTGAGCGGCGCGGCGAGGCCCCGGCCGGGTGGGGGGGCGCGGCCCTGGGGGCGGGGCGGAGGTGTGGCTCCCACGGGGTCCCTCGCCCCGGTGCACCCCGAGGGAAAATGGAGGCTGCTCGGCCCTCAGGATTTGCCTTGCGCGGAAATTCTGGGCACTTCGCCCTCTCCGACGGCCTCCTGGGAGCGCTTCCTCGCGGGCAAGGGCCGCCTCTGCGCACCAGTTTACATTGAAGGGAGCGCCTGGCTTCCGGAAATCCCGGGGTTGCAACACGTACAACCCCTACAATCTGAGTTAGAAACGTGGGTTTTTGCATTTCCATCCCTTCCCCTGCGTCCCACCACGTGCCCCTGATGCCCTCCGTTTGCTCGGCTAACGGGCCGAGAGGTCCAGCTCCCATCCCCCAGGATACGGCGGGGCCTGCTGGGTAATGGTGTCGAATAGCAACCTTGGGGGCTGGTGCTAAGCGGCTTATCTCCCGAGGGCCGACCACTCCTGGCGCAGCTGCCTCCGCCCGCTCTTCTGGGCTTATCTCGGGGCCCCACTTGAATTGAAGGGTATCTCTAGAAATCCCCCCTTCTGCGATCAGAGTTGTCTGAGTCACCCGGCGGCCTAGTGCTTGCGTCCTTAATTCTTGATCCATTTTGTGTCTAAGAATTGCAGCCCTCTCGTTGAATGCTCAGTTCTTGAGTAAAATCCACCAGCAGTTGCAGGGCAAGGAATTTTCCCCAGTAATTGGTGGGATCGAGTTTTCCAAAGTCTTGGTTTAGGCAGTGTGGTGGGAGTTTTACTCAGAGTTGTCTTGTGATTGTGCAAATTATCCAAGAATAGACATGTTCCAGATGGATTTGATAACAGGCCTGGATTTCTATGACTACCGTTCTGTTTCAGGAACTCCTCCTGAGTACAGCAAGTGTCTAAAACTCAATCACGTTTTTGCTTTCTACTGGTAATAGTTATCTACATTAGCATTGCCCACAGTTGTCACCTTGCCTAAGCGGGTTAATTTTAGAAATCCTTCAGTCTGCCTGTATGCTGGCAAGCTCAAGTTTTAACATGGCTTTATCAGGGCAGAACGGGAGAAGGCCCTAATAATGCAGGGTAAATACTCCAGCACCCTCCCCGGTGAAATTTGACACTGGCCCTAAGAACTTTGCAGTAAAACAGGTCCTGGACACGGTCCATACTGGAGGCAATTCCTGTGACATTCTAAATGTTCCTTATAGTACATTTTCAATTTCAAAGACCAAGTTTCCTTTTTTTTATTTTAGAGTAGAAAGTAATTGTTGTTGTGTTCAGTCCAGGATCACAACATGTTCATGTTCCACTTTCAGTCTTACTACTTTGACCGCGATGATGTGGCTTTGAAGAACTTTGCCAAATATTTTCTTCACCAATCTCATGAAGAGAGGGAACATGCTGAAAAACTGATGAAGCTGCAGAACCAACGAGGTGGCCGAATCTTCCTCCAGGATATCAAGGTAAACAAAAGATCCTAGCGGTGTCATGCTACTTAGTTTATCTAGCAGTCCTCAGGTGTCAGAAATCACTCAAGGGACTAGCAGTTGCCCTTTTAAAATTAGGATACCTTTGGCTTTTGTGCTTTTTCAGGCCCACCATCTAAGCCAAAGTAGGCAAACAGTAATGGGCAAGGATGTTGAATTGGAAACCGTTATCAAGGGAAATGTAGATACTCTTTTGCCAAAAGGTTGTGTATTAGGTGCCTGCCAAATTGTCATGGTTTGATTGGGAGACTACAGATGCATTAACCTACTTCCTCTCCTTCAGAAACCAGACCGTGACGACTGGGAGAATGGGCTGAATGCGATGGAGTGTGCATTGCACTTGGAAAAAAATGTGAATCAGTCACTACTGGACTTGCACAAACTGGCCACTGACAAAAATGACCCTCACGTGAGTATTGGCAGCCTGGGAGTAAATGGAGGAAATCGTGTTCTTTAGTTGCTGGGAACGTTTATCAGTAACTTTCTTCCTGTTCTGTTTTCTAGTTGTGTGACTTCCTTGAAACTCACTACCTGAATGAGCAAGTGAAATCCATCAAAGAACTGGGTGACCACGTAACCAACTTGCGCAGAATGGGGGCCCCTGAAGCTGGCATGGCAGAGTATCTCTTTGACAAGCACACCCTGGGAGACAGTGACGAGAGCTAAGCCTTAGGCTGGCTTCCCATAGCCAGGGGGGTGACTTCCCTGGTCACCAAAGCAGTACGTGCATGTTGGAGTTACCTTTACCTTTTCTATAACTTGTACCAAATCATCCACTTACATCTTTTCATTTGTACCATTCCTTCAAATAAAGTAATTTGGTACCCAGCTGTTGTCTGTGGATTCTTGGGATCAGGTAGATATGTATATATCTAGGCCATCTTTGCCAAATCTGTAAGTGCCACAGTTCACGCTATAATCAAAATGAAACATCTAAGAGGACTTGTATTTATGAAAATACTTAATTTATTAATCCTTAGTTATATGAAACGCCTAAGTTTGGGAAAGACTCCAAGGCTTGGGTGTGTAGAATTCAGATCCGACTTAGGACTCTTGGTTTTGAACTCCCATGTTTTCAGTGGTTCAATCTAGCTTTCCTTATTTTTATGTACAAAAGGCATTTAAAGACTTAAGTAGTCCTGAAACATGATTGTTATCCATTGAGCTAACCGTTGAATTCATCAGACTGTCACTGGGACATATTCCTCAGTGTGGACAACTGTATGGCCACGGATGGATCAGTGTCCCTCTGGTGTACACGCAGGTGGGACCAGGCTGGTGAAGCATCCCCCTTGGGAAACAGCCTAGGAAGGTACTTCATCCCTATTGAAAATTTGAGAAAATTTACATGAGTATGGAAGAGATTTTCATTTCAATATACTAAATTAGCTGCAGCAGGAGGGCAAAGGTTGAGACATCTTAAATACTAAAATCCAATGGCTAGCCCAGCCGGTGTGGCTCAGTGGTTGAGTGTTAACCCATGCACCAAGAGGTCCCAGGTTCAATTCCTGGTCAGGGCAAATGCCCAGGTTGTGGGCCAAATTCCCAGTGGGGGGTATGCAGAAGGCAGCCAATCAGTGTTCTCATCAATGTTTTTATCTCCCTCTATAAAATCAATAAAGAAAAAATAGTAAAACCCAATGGCTGGTGTCAGGATACTGCAGAGCTGTTCATAGTCTTTCCCAAACAAGCCACAGTGATTTATGTTTCTGTCGCCCTAGAAACAAGACAGGTGGTAGCCCTTTGAAGTTTTCAGTCAAAGCTGTGTATTGTCCACAGATATAAGTGCTTGAGAGTCTAGAAGTAGGAAGTTCAACTTCCCTCCCACATGGTGGGGTGAGTGGGGTGGGGCAGATGTAGAACAGGGTGAGTCTAGTGAAGATGGAATGAAGGGAGATACCTGGTGGTTTTGTGACAGCTTGGCGTGACCCCAAGGGAGCAGGAAGAGCACATTTAAGTTTAGAAGTCTTGCTGAGGTCCTCAAAGCAGTAAGATGCCCCAAGGGACCTGCATACCCTCCCCTTCACCTGCCCGTTCCCAGGGGTGTGGTACCCTTTGAGGAGCTTCAGGACCACTGAACGTTCTTGGGGGAGGAGTGCTCATTAAAGTCTCCCTGCTAAGCCTGGGCAGGGAGTTGAATTCTTGGGCTACAACCTCGAGCCTCCAGTTCTGCCCCATGATTTTGTGTCTGTCGTGCTGTTCAAAGTGAACTGGATCCAGATATAACATCTCCCCATCTAAGCCTGGCCTGGCAGTCCTTCCTAGCATCATCCCTGTCAGTGCAACCTCATCTTCCTTCACCTAGGTCTCGGGGACTTCCTGGTGATGCTGGGCTCTCCGCTGAAATAAAGTCCCCAACACTTCACTAGGGCCCTTGTGAGGTGGCCAAGTGTATGCCCTAAGCCAGTGCTGGACAAAGGTCCAGCATGCCCTGGCATGATGGAACCATAGGGAGATCATGGAAGAAGGGTAGCTGGCGTGGGGGGGGGGGCACCCAGGAGGGGTGCAGTGACCGTCGTCGGGGTAGAGGACAGACCTGTTTTCCAAGGCCCAGTAAGGATTGTGATCTTGGAGTATAGTGTGCACGTTGCTTGTTGATGGTAGACGTGGTTCCCTGAGATGACTTTCAGGGGCCTCTGACATGTCGGTCAGGTTAAACTCCACAGTTTTTTTCTTGATGTGACACAATTCCAGATGCTCCATCGAGGCCCCGGGACACACTGGGAGCAATTCAAAGCTCTTCTTAGTCCCAGGAGTCCCAGGCTGTAGGCTTTGGTCTTTGATAGTGCTGTCTACGCCTGCGACTCTGGGAGGACTTGAGGGAGCTGGTGGGAATATCATCGGGGTGGAGCTGAGAGGTGTCTGTGGGGCACTGTGGTAGCCTGACCTCTCATACAGTGCAGCGAACTTAAAGGCATCCTCTCCCTTCATCTTCCAGGCCTTCCTATCTCCCTGGTCCCTACAGCTCTTCCTGACGCCCCCGAGGTTATCTGGCTGGCCCTCATGGAGAAGGACTTCCTTCTTAGGCAATAGTAGTTTGGTCTTTAAGCTTGTCCTGGGGAGGTGGTCGTGGGACTGCAGCCCCAGGAAGCGGCCGATGATGCCATTGTGAGCACCCTCCTCCTCCTCCTCCTCCTCCTGGTTTGGCTGGAACTCCATTTCTTCCTTATGTAGACTGGAAAGAAGCAGGAGACGGAGGGTTGAGTAGGAGGAACAAAAGGACCAAACCCCCTCTTCTCCCTTCCTCTGGCCCAAGGTCAAGGACACATGGGCTTCCTCATAATGCCCTGACTCGCTTCTCTCCTGATCTGTCCTGTACCTCCCAATCCGCCCTGTACCTCCCGATCCGCCCTGTACCTCCCGATCCGCCCTGTACCTCCCGATCCGCCCTGTACCTCCCGATCCGTCCTGTACCTCCCGATCCGCCCTGTACCTCCCGATCTGCCCTGTACCTCCCGATCTGCCCTGTACCTCCCGATCCACCCTGTACCTCCTGATCAATCCCTCCTGGCCCAGCTCACCCAGCTGCTCTGTGGCTCCCTCTTGCCCACATTAACATTCAACTCCTAGCCTGGCATTCAAGGGCTCCCTCTTCATCACCCATGTCTTCCCTTTCCAACCACTCCCTCCGGGCAATCTGAATTACCAGTCCCCAGGTGGGGGTGGTTACATGAGACTGGGAGTGACTCTGGACAAGCCAGGGGTTTGTGTCCCAGCTGCAGAGCAGCATCCCCAAAAACAGAAGTCCGGCTTCCTGGGAGCCCAAGGCCTTTACTCTGCAAGAGAAAACCCAGCTACCCCAGAGATCTCCTGCCCTTGCCCTTGTTCAAATTCTCCCCATGCTTCAAGGCCCAGCTGCAGGCCCAGCTAGAGGCCATCTCCCTTCCTGGTGGCCAACAGTGACGTCTGCTCCATGCTCTGTCCCTTTCCCTGGCACCCAGGACCTGCACTGTGTATCCAGGGTTTGAGCTCCCTCACCAAATTGTGTGTTCCTTGGAGGCAAGGCCTATGCATTATTTCCTGTTACCCCCCTCTGTCTCTACAACCTTCAGCTGCTGGAGCACAGACCATGTAGAACTCGAAGTCAACCTCCAGAAGTGTTTCTGACCTAAGCAAGCCTTCATCTGATCACTTTTCCAAACTTCTCTATGCCAACTAAGGAACTCCAGCTAATTCTAATTACAGCTTAATAGTATATTCAATTCTTTTTATTTTTTTTTTCCTTTTTCTTTATTGATTTTAGAGAGAAGGGAGGGGGGAGAGAGAGAGAGATAGAAACATCGATGAGAGAGGACATCAATTGGCCGCCTCCTGCACGCCCCCCACTGGGGACTGGGCCCACAACCTGGGCATGTGCCCTGACCGGAAATCGAACTGGCAACCTCTTGGTGCATGGGTCAACGTTCAACCACTGAGCCACACCAGCCAGGCCAGATATTCAGTTCTTAAAAGACAAGAAGAAGGAGGCAGAAAGGGGGAAAGTGGGGATATCTGTAATAGTCTCAACAATAAAATAAGCTGAAAGAGCAAGAAGAAAACAGAGCTTAATACAGTGGAAGGAAACCTTGATGGTATGGACCCCGACGTGCACCCAAATCCTCAATACTCTCATCCCAGGAAGAGAGCTGTCTGGGGCGAGCCTTCCGCCCACTGTGGCCCAGCAGCAGCTTCAAAGGGGTTCTGTGCAAATCCAGGAAACGGGACGCATGTGGAGGAATGTTTGGCTGCTGCGGGTGATCTAAGGCCTTTACTCTGTAATAAAAAGTCTACCTACTTAGAAGTTGCCGGTTTGGCTCAGCGGTTGGAGCACTGGCCTGCAGACCAGAGAGTCCCAGGTTCGATTCCCGCTAGGGGCACATACCAAAAACAACAACAACAACAACAAAACAAAAGAGAAGTTACCTCCGAGGACCCAGCCTCCTGCTGGGGCATGCCTGCCACCCCTCCCTGATTTCAGGGACACCCCATCCCACCACCACCACTCCAAGTACCCTGGCTTTTGAAAAAAACAGAGTCAAGAACCAGGCCCTGACATCCCAACTGTATCACTGATCACTGACTGCCCTTGAGTAAGTCCCTTCTCTCTCTGGGCCTCAGTTTCCATCTCTGGACACAGGAGGCTTAGCCTGGGGGTACCTAAGAGCCCCGAAGCAGTACAGGGAAGAGTGAAAAGTGAGGTGAACCGGACATACCTGGCCCACACGTGCTGTTTGCTAGCTATGTGACGGTGGGCTGGGCAACTTACTTAACCTCTCTGAACCTGGAATTAATCAGCTGAAAACTGGACACCGCAAACCAAGGCAATTGGAAGAAAAAGAGTGAATACATATAAAGAGCTTAGTACAGTGCCAGGCCCTCGGGAAGCACCCAGTATGCACCAACCGGGCGATTCTAAGTGCCTGGGCAAGCCCTTGCATTTGGGGTTCTCTATCCACCGAAGTGGCTACCTGGCACTGCCCACCTGATATTGAAGGTGGAGCCAAAAAAGGAGGGTCGGCGAGACTGGGCAGAAGCCGCTGTGTAGGGGGGCTGTGGTTCTGGATCGTTCCAGTACATGTCCCGCTCCAGTGGGGGCAGGTCCCGGTACATCTCGTCCACAGCCAACAGGGACACCTGGTCACCAGGGACAGAAGCAGACGTCTGATAGAAAGATCAGCCCAGCAGGGCCATGAACTTGCCAGGTGACTTGGAGAAGCCACTTCTGTCTCTGGGCCTCAGTTTCCCTACTTCAGGAGAGACTGACGCCTACCTGAAGCCTCAAAGTTGGGTTGAGAATCCTGGGAAGGAATGGGTGGCCGGGGAGAGGAGGGAGGCAATTCACTGTCAGGCCTCTCTACAGAATTGAGAGGCCCCCCCCCCGGGGTCCAGTCTGCAGAGGGTCCACGGGATGGGCTCCCCCCCTCCCCCATACCTGCAGGCTCCTGTCAACAATCCAGTTGGTCTCAAAGTCGTCATCATCCTCTCCAAACGGGTTGATGAGCTGCTCTGCCACCTTGGGGGCAGGTGAGGCTCTGGAAATCCTCAGGTAGAACTCCTTGCCACCTTGCTTCCCACCCTGAAACCTCAGCTCCTGACACTTCCATCGCCCCCCCTCTCCCAGGGTGCCCTCCTGCCTGACCGTTGTCTCCAAAGCCACTGTGTAAGGGCTCCAGCCACCCACGCACGGGGGCATCCACACACATTGCCTTTCCCGTCAGGACACCAGGCCTTTCTGACTCCCCTGAGCCAGCCCCCCGCCCCTGAATACCCAGAGCTGTCCTTGAGTGTGTCACTCAGCTCAGTCACCACCTTTATCTCCCTCACTGCCTCTGACCTGGAGCCGCATAGCTCACTCATGTTTTCAAACATTCACTTACTCACTATTTTCTAGCACAACAGACATATATGCTGAGGCTGTGCTGAATTAAAGGGTCGACCAGGCGGGCAGACTCCTGGACACTGACCTCTGAAGTGTCCTGACAAGGCCCTGCAGTGGTGGTGAGTCAATGCACTAAGGGGTCAGGGGACATGCTGCAAGCCACTGGGGCACCACAGGAGAATTTCAAGCAGCAAAATGGTGTGATCTGGCTTGATCTGTAGATAACTGGGGGAAAGGGGGGAAATAACTCTGTGTGTGTGTGTGTGTGTGTGTGTGTGTGTGTGTGTGTAACATGGACAGGAGGGAGACACCACCACCACCACCACCAAAAAATAAAGCAAGAGAGAGAGAGTGGGTGGAAAATGGATGGAAAGCTAAAGATGTGGACAAAGCACTGTGTTCAGAGTCCCTGTAGAAAAAGCACTGGAGCCTGGCCGGTGTGGCTCAGTGATTGAGTGTGCATCAAGAGTTGCCGGTTCAATTCCCAGTCAGGGCACGTGCCCAGGTTGCGGCCCGATCCCCAGTGGGGGGCATGCAGGAAGCGGCCAATCGATGTTCTCTCATCGATGTTACCATTTCTCTCTCCCTCTCCCTTCCTCTCTCTCTAAAACGTCAATAAAGAAAAAAGAAAAGGAAAGAAAGAACACTGGATGCGATGAGAAGGAAGACTTGGATAAACCACTCGGGGTGGGGACGAGGACCCCATGTGCCCCCACCGACAATCTGAGTAAAGAGAGGCGGTGCTAATCTGTCTTGAAGGGTGGGAGCCGGGGGTAGTTAACCTCAGGGCTTTTGTTTCACTAAACAGAGGGAACAAACTAGGGACCTAGTCACTGGGGACAGAGAAGTTGCCTCACCAGCACGGGCTGCCGCTGCCACTTATGCCATGCATCCCCCTGTTCTGGACAAACATGTGGAGAGCATTCTCTTGAGGGGGCAACTTGAGGTTTGACAACTGAGCTTTCCTGCTTCTCGTGCTGCTAAGTTCCAGGCCCTGGGTGAAGCGCGGCCATCAGACACAGGCTTCTTGCAGGTCCTGCTCCCCTTTGGGTCTCAGTTTCTTTGTATATAAACACCTGGAGAGACTAGAGGGTCGTGGCCAGGACCCAGTGCCCTACTTTCCACATCACAGACCCCTCTCCTGACTGGCCATGACCCCTCTGGCCACACCTGCAGCCCAGCCTTGTCCCAGGAGGCTCACCTTCAGCCAGCCAGCATAGAAGAAGAACTGCAGGAATGTGAAGACAGGGACAACGAGGTCCAGCTCATGGCCAGGGTAGGCCTTGGCTGGGTTCAGAAACTGCCGCCCAATCAGGCAAGCCAGGAAAAAGCTGTAAACTGCCACGGTCACCACCTGGGCAAGAAAGGAGGCGGTGGAAATGGGCTGGGTGGGGACCTGGCCTCAGGAAGCTCCCCACCCTGCAAGGACAAGGCTTTTTTACACACTTATGGGATTTGGGGTCTCTGTGATCTCCCCTTTAAAATGGGGATAACCACACTGCCTCCCCCAGGCTGGACCAGGCAGGAGCCTGGATTCTTCGAACTTGACACTAGAGAAAGAGGCCCAGGGTGAGCCTCTTTCTCAGCCTCTAAGTGAGTCCTTCCCATCACAGGCTGCTTCCTGGGTCCTCCCAGTCTCCGTTCCCCAAAGGGGCAGCTTCACCAGCCTTGCCCTCACCTGCGTGTACACCAGCGGGACACTGATCCAGTCGTAGGCATACAGTTGTCCACACTGCGTCCGCAAGGTGTTCATCTCCTGGGGGGCAGGAGGAACGGTTGGGGTTCTGACTGCTGCCTGCTCTCTCCCCGGCTCTTCCCCAGGTACTAGGCTCTGGTGCTCATGGTCCAGCCCTAGCTATGTGGTCACTTAACCTCTCTGGGCCTCAGCCTTCTCATTTATCAAAAAGGAGGCTCATTTTAGGGAGGGGGTGGGAGGGAACTTTGGGAGGGGCCACACTGGGCTGTGGAATCCTGTTGGAAAAGATCCTACAAACCGAAGGCAGGCTCTGGAAAACATTTAGGGGCTCAAGCCTTCTCTGTGTTGGCAGCCTTATTCCATTTGGGGCACAACCCTCCCTGCTTTCCAGCAGCCCCATCTGCATAGTGGGCTCACGGTCAGCAAGCTCTGGAGCAGGACAGGATCCCGGATTCGACCTCTGGTCCAAGCTTTCGTTGACAGGTTGGCAAACCACACCCAGGGCACCCAGAACGTGTTGTGAGGCAAGCTCAATTTTTCTAAGTGCTTGTGTTCCGCGGGGGTCATGAAGCCTGCGGGGTAGCGTGAAGAAGCAGTGGGTAGGGGACCTGCAGAGGGGTGGCTGGCCAGGTGGTCAGGCCCTGTAGGGGCCCAGGATTCAGGCCCAAGCCCCTACTGAGCCGGTAGGCACCTCGGAGCTCCTTGGCCATACTCTCTTTCAAAGAATAATTACTGAGTGCCTACTCTGTGCTCTTCTGGGCTGAGCACGTGAGAGGGCTCTGTCTTATTAACTGGGACCCAGTCAGAGACCAAGGGCACAGATGTACAGGCCTGGGAACCAGAGAACAGTACAGGATGGCGGATGGCAGAGGGAGGTAAGACTCTGAGTCCTCACCACTTCCCAAGGCTCCGCCACCCCACTCCCCACATCCCATCCTCTACCTGCTCTTTCCTTATCCCTCAAGGTCCCCAGGCGTCCTCAAACCCCTATCCTCCTAGGGTAGTTTCCTGGCCTGGCCTGGCCTGGCTTTCGGCACCTAACCCCAGCCCGCCGGTCCCCAGGCCTCACCCCAGCCCCTCCCAGGCCCCACCCACTCCGCGGCCCAGGCGCCTCTGGCTCCGCCCAGCTCCGGCGCGGCCCCGCCCACCTGCTGTCACCAGGTGCTGGCAGCTGGGAAAGCGCTTGTAGACGGCGGCGCTGACGCTGCGCAGGATGAGCACGCTGCCCAGGTTGGCGTAGCGCATGAGCGTGCGCCGCAGCAGCCGGCCCTGCTCGTCCCTGCCCTCCACGAAGCCCGACACCAGGTTCATCAGGCGGTCGGGCCACGGCAGGTTCTCGTACTGGTTCCACCAGCGGGTCACGACCAGCGTCACGTAGAAGCCTGGGCAGAAGGGGCGGGGGCCAGGGCAGGGGCGAGGCCCCAGGCTGCGGCCACAGCCCGGCCAGGGCGACCCCCGCTTTCTCCATCTTTCTGCCGGGAGCGGGCCCGGGCCCAGCCCTCCTGAAAGGCGCTCGGGACGGGAAGCCACCAGGGCCCCGCATGGAGGACCCCGCGAACTGTCTCCCCCGCACCCCCCTCCCCCATCCGAGAAATCCACCAGCCCCCTTCCCGCCTGCGCAGAGGCTCCAGGGACCTTGGTGTCGGCGCCGCCCTCAGAAACAGGTCTCGAGCGCTCGCTGCAGGAGTCCTTCCTAAGGTCCAACGTCAGTCCCTCTGGCTGCAATCCCCCCATTTCCCTGAACCACCCACATGCACTGACACGACACTGCCCCCACCCCCAAATCCCCCTGGTCCTAGCAGCCACGGGGACCCCAATACCCGGCAGGGGGAGCTCACCCAGCACGAAGGAAATGGGGATGAGCTGGATGTAGCTGTCGCAATACAGACTCAGCTTCTCGAACATCACCTGCTGTTCCTCCGTGAGGGCCATCCTGGGGGAGGGGTGGGCATGCAGATGTGTCGACGCCGGGAGGAGATGGCTGAGACCGGCCTGGGGTCCAGCCAGGCCTAGGGTAGGAGTGTGGCTGCCCCTGTGCTGCCCCACAGCCTCCCTGTCCTTTTTACTGGCCGCCCAGGGCCCATCCTCTGGCTTGAGCCAGGTCCCACTCCTTTTCTGGGAGCTCTGAACCCCACGGAGTTCCACGAGGTGTAGGAAGGAAGCTCCTACTGAAGGAGTCAGGTTTTAGGTACCCTCCCGCCACCGCCGCGGGCTCTGCCAATCCTGCCATGTTCTGGGAGCCCTTTAAAGGATCCAAAGGACAGTTGTTTTTTTAAGGAGATTGAAACAAAGGATGTTTGGTCTTTAAAAGAAATGTATGGTCTGATGAATTGAGCACAGAAGATTTTTAGGGCAGTGAAATTATTCTTTACAACACTGTAATGGTGGATACAGGTCATTATACATTTGTCCAAACTCATAGAATGTACAATGCCAAGGGTGAACCCTAATATAAACTATAAAGTGGACTCTGGGTAATAATAATGTATCCATGTGGGTTCATCTATTATAATAAATGTATCACTCTGCTACAGGATGTGGGGAGGGGGCCTCTGTGTGGGGGCCGGAGGGCAGGTATATGGGAACTGGCTGGACCTTTAGCTCAATTCAGCTATGGAAAACAGCTCTAAAAAAGAAAGTATAATAAAAAATAAAAAAGAGAGAGAGAGAGAGAGAGAAGTGTATTGGCACCCTAGTAACAACCAAAGAAAACCAATGTGCTTTGTGATTAGTATTATCACTATGAACTCAAAAATTTTATATATTGGATATTCTCATTCCATTCAGTCATTAGTGCTTTTTCCATTTAAAATGCTATCACATATTCTGTGAGTCTATCTGTCCTATATTTTGTTTAAATATTGTTTAAATAAACATTATTATTGGGGAATAAAAAACGTATGGTCTGGACCTGTGTGGGATTCAGGAAAACAGGCTGGCTGAGGTGGGACCAGGGAAGGCCTGGGTTCCGGGGCCCTCCCTGAGCTGGAAGAATGGGTGTCTGAGATGCTCCCTCTCAGTCTGCCTTCTTTTCTCTCCTCCCCAGCCCCCAGCCTCTGGGGCTGGGCCATAAGCCCTCATAGGTCTCTGGTGCATGGGTCGAGGGTCTCCGAGGAGCTCCAAGCCCAGCTGACTGCCCCAGGCCCCGCCCCAGCCCCTTACCTGTACCTGTAAATGAAGCGGATGGTGTAGTAGCTGAGCAGGAAGATGAGGAATTCACCGTAGAGCAGCTTGTAGATGCTGCCTCGCCAGCACAGCAGCAGGCGGGAGAAGGAGCCTAAGCGGGCATTAGCCACTTGGCTGGAGTAGGTGACGGTCATGGTCAGGCACTGGGCTGCAGCAGGTGGGCTGGGTCCTGGTGGACAGAGAGGGACACTGTTAGGGGACAGGGAGGGAGCAGGGTCAGAGCTGTGTGGGGCTTATGTGTGACCTTAGCCAGGACCCTTCCCTGCTCTGGACCTCAGCTCTTCCTTCAGAATACCGAGATGGGGGTGAGGTGGTCTCTACGGCCCTTCCAGCTCTGACTGTCAGTGGGACTGCCCACCACTTTGGCAGGGGAGACATAGATAGGTCTGTCCCCTTAAATTGTATGACAAGGACAATGACAGCAGTGTACACACTGGGCTCAGTCCTCTGTTCCGAGCCCATCTTGTTCGTAAGCTCCCCAAGCTCCCTCAACTACCCTGGAGAAAGAATTGGTAAGAAGCCTCGTCAGTCTTATCCACCATCCTGTCCCCAGTGCCCAGAACAGAGCCTGGCCGGTGGAGAGGTTCAATGGTTACTCAGTGGTGGCCCCAGGGCCTTGCCACCTGCTGATCTTCCTGCCTGGGGGATGCTCTTCCTAATCTAACTGTATGGTTCATTCCCACTTCAGGTCCCCTCTTCAGAAAGAATGTCCCTGACCACCTACCTGGAAATAGCATCCCAGTGCCACCCACACTTTCTGTCCCCTCACCTTGCTCAATTTTTCTACATAGCACTTAATCATGTTATACTTAAAATGTATTTTGCAGACTGTCTGCTTGTTTACTGACTAGTCTTTCCTTAGAATGGAGTCTCCTACTGTGTTCTCAAAGGAGATGCTCAAGCCTGGCCGGTATAGCTCAGTGGTTGAGCATCGACCCATGCACCAAGAGATCACCGGTTCAATTCCCAGTCAGGGCACATGCCCATGTTGTGGGCCTGATCCCCAGTGGGGGCCATGCAGGAGGCGACCAATCGATGTTCTCTTATCGATGTTTCTCTCTCTCTCTCCCTCTCCCTTTCTCTCTCTCATATCAATAAAGAAATACAAAAAAAAAAAAAAAAGAAGGTGCGCAATAAAAGTTCATTGAAGCAATGATTGACGCCCACCCTCCCCCACTAGCTCTGATGTAGCCACACAGGCTATCTCTGTGCCTCGTGCACATCAAGCTCATTCCCACCTCAGTGCCTTTGCACAGACACACTGGCACTCACACCCCTGCACATGTGTTGCCTGTGTGTATACATCACACACACATTTGCTGGGACAGTCATCCACCCCAAAGGCCCCCAAAGCCCCAGCTCAGCCCATGTGGGTAACCCCTACTCACAGATGGGTCTTCAGACTGGCCGGGCAATCCCACCAAAGGTCTTGCCACTGGACTGGTGTCCTTGCTACTGGGGTCCTGTGGACAGTGCCCCTGCCTACACTTAGGGGCTGGCACTACCCATGGGGGTGCTAAGTGGTCACTTGATTCCCTAAGCCAGCACCTCCACAAAGGAGCCCTTGTGTTGGTTGCTTCTCCTAATCTGCCCATAAGCAGCAGCCAGCACAATCCCCAGTACCCCTCTAATTCCTTCCTGGGGGAGGGAGGAAGCATGGGGTTGAGAGCAGAGCTGAAATTTCAGCAACCCCCCTCCACCAGGGACCCCGCTAATCCTGCCTTCTTCTTGGGGTCCTGAAATCCGGAGATTGAGGAGTGCATTTCTGACCCTTGAGGTCTCGCAGGGAGTGCAGTGGGGGGGAGGGCCAGAGCTGTCTGCAGAAAGGACGCCTCTGCCCAGGCCCTGTGGGGCTCTGGCAGCACCGTGAGCCACACTCAGAAGTCCTGGCTCTGCCGCCTGTGTGCGGTGACCCTGGGGGTGGGGGGCTCTGCATGGCCCCCACTGGGGATCGAGCTCTTCTCTAGGCCTGTGTCCGTATCTGCAAAGGATGGCATTTCTTCAGAATTTCATCACCTCAGTAAGAGTGACAGAATTCATCCTATACCTATGAAGAGCTCTGATTGGCTGCTGGTGACATTAGCTATTCCAGCTGTGACTGGCTGGCTGGAGTTAGAAGGTTGGTTCTGAGCTAGGGAAGGAGAAAGGGGGCAGAGAGAGGCTGTGGGCCGGCCAGGTGCGTGCGGATGACACAGCAACGCTCATTCGTGCTGCTGGCTCCCAGCCAGCCCAAGGGAATGGGAGTGTGACCCAGGTCCCCAAGGGCAGCTGGTTAATATCCCAGCAGCTGGCTCCATGCATTTTAATGCATAAATCCATACTCAAGGGCCCTCCTGAGCCCCTGGTAGTGATGCGTGTCTAGGTCATGTTCCTCTTGACTTAAGGGAAAGCTCCAAACAGTGATGGCACTTTGTCTTCAGTGGCCATGGGAACGGCTGGGAATAGTTATTCAATGCGCGGCTTCTCGGGATCTTTCTCGAGTCTGATTCAGCGACCTAGGGGATGCTGCATTTCTAACGGGCACTGTGGGATTATGATGCCAGTGGTCTTCGGATCACACTTTCGGGAGCCCTGATTTATAATCTGACCTGGAGACTTAAAATAAATCCATCATGCCCCAACCAGTTTGGCTCAGCAGTTAGAGCAATGACCCTCAGATCAAAGGGACTTGGGTTCAATTCTGGTCAAGGGCATGTACCTGGGTTGCAGGTTCGATCCCCGGCCCTGGTTGGGGTCATGCAGGAGGCATCCAATTGGTGTGTCTCTCTCACATTGATGTTTCTCTCTTCCTCTGTCCCTCCCTTCCGCTCTCTCTAAAAAATCAATGGAAAGCCCAGCCAGTGTGGCTCAGTGGATTGAGCGTCGTCCCATGGACTGAGAGGTCCCAGTTCAATTCATGGTCAGGGCACATGCCCAAGTTGGGAGCTCGATCCCCAGTGGGGAGCATGCAGGAGGCAGCTGGTTGATGTTTCCCTCTCACATCGATGTTTCTATCTCTCTCTAAAAAATCAATTTAAAAAAACCACATATTTTTAAAAAATCAATGGAAAAATATCCTCGGGTGAGGATTAACAAAAAATTTTTTTAAATAAAATAAAATAAATCCCCGCCCCCTTCCTCTCTTTCAGACATTCTCCTGTTAACATGCAGAGACTATAGGTGCACACCATTTTTGCCTCTATACTTCAATGCCTAGAAAAATTATAATTATTTCACAATGACCTTGGGTTTTTGTTTTTTTGTTCTGTTCCAGGCAAACAATTATGAGGGAGTCTCTGCAGAGGTTGGACAGCCCTGGAGGAGTGTCTGTCGCATCCCTGCCTCCCGTGCCGTGGGAACCCTCCCCAGCGCTGTCCGTCAAGGAGCAAGCTCACCTGACCCTCAGTCTCCTCACCTGTGAGTGGGACAGTAGCACCGACCCCCACAGCTGGGTGAGAATGCTGGCCAAGAAACGCTCTAGTCAACTCGCCAAACCAGTGGTTCTCAGGACTGGCTGCCTGCTAACTTGTCCAGGACCACAGGCCAGCCCAGGATGCCTCTGCCTTACCCCGCCAGATCCATTCGTTCAGACGGGGCCCGGGTGCTGGTCTTTTTCCAGGCTCCCCAGGCAAGCCCAAGGGACAGTCGGTCAAGAACCACTGCCCTAAGGGAGTATTTCCCTGCCTTGTCGTCCCTCTTCTCCCGCCGACACAGGATGCTCGAGAGAGAGCTTTCCAGTTAGCAGATGATTAATAAACTCATTTTTATTAAAACTGAAACCTGTGCCGGGTACCACACTTGACACAGAAACGCTCACTCTGTGATAGTTGAAGGAATTAAGGACACACGGCTTCTGTGGGGGTCAGGGTTTTGCCTCCCCGGTGGTGGCCACTGGAGGGTGCCCTTGACTAGCTGGCTCTGGCTGGCTCCCGGAAGCTTGGTGGAGCTTAGAATGTGAGTGGACCCTGGAGCTGGCACTGGGTAGCTTTTTCATCTCTTTGACCCTGACCAGCAGCTACAGAGCCATGAGAGAAAGTTGGCAGACACTGGAGACCTCCCTCACTTTCTCCTGGACCATGGGTTCCTTCACAATATCCCAAAAGTCCCAGCTGACAGTGCTGTCCCATGCCCCCGTCCCCTCCCAGATGCCCCAGGATATCCCCAGAAACACGGGCAAGCAACCAGGTGCTGCTGGCACCACCCCAACGCTAAGACAGGTGCACCCCAGGCACAGGTCATGCCCTTTCCCTCCGGGTCTCAGCGATGAGAATGTTCCCAGCCAGCCAGGGACAGCTCTGGCATGCACGAAAGCCATGACACGCACTGACCCACCCAAGTCATGCTTGGACAAAGGGCCCCAGAACTGACCCCTTCCAAATGGGGCCCAGCGTAGTCAGAGTCAGCGTCCTGATTTCCATTGACAAGGTACAAAGTGGTCATTCACCAGACCATTTCATTTTGTTAATCCTCACCTGAGGATATTTTTTCCACTGATTTTTTTAGAGAGAGTAGAAGGGAAGGAGGGAGGAGGAAGAGAGAGAGAGAGAAACATCAATGGGAGACAGACACATTGATTGGTTGCCTCCAATATGACCCCTTGGAAACTGAACCTGCAACCCAGGTACATGCCCTCGATCGGAAATCGAACCTGCGACCCTTCAGTGTGAGGGCCGATGCTCTAACCACTGAGCAAACCTCTGAGCCAAAAAAAAAAAGAATTCATAGTCAAATAAAAACCAGCAAAACAAATAATTCTAACAGAACATCAAGGCCTAGTGTCTGTGCCAAGTGCACAAAGGTCAAGGAAACTTTTACAAAGAATTTGAATTGGGTCTTGAAGCATGAGTAGGAGTTCATCTAAGCTGAGGACAGACGAGCATTACGTATTAAGGGAACAGCCCATGGAAAGTCACAGAGGACTTACTGGAAACGGTTCAGTATGACATTTCTATCCACTTTACAGAGGAGGATGCTAAGCTCAAGGCCTGCCTTCTCCAAGGTCACAGAGCTATAAAGGGCCAGGTTGGGCCTGGAATATGGGTCTCCTGTTTTGAATGCTGGGCCCTTTCCATTATCCACCATCACCTCACCAGCGGAGGTCAGTTTCAGAGAGGTGGAGCCTCATGTGTAGGGTAGGGGTCTCTGTTGGGGTTGAAGGGAGGTCCAGGGGATGAGGGATGCATGGAAGAGACTCCGACCACAGCAGAGCCCAAGCTCTCGAGCCCCTAGCAGAGCAGAGCTGAGCGGATGGTGGAGGTTCCAAAGGCAGAATGCTATGGCCTTCTCGTCTAGGATCACCATGGCAACAGAATCATCATAGAGAGTCTGCCACTGTGCCCTTCCAAGGCCTGCCTCAGCCAAGCAGGAAGAAGGGGACCCAGCTTGGCTGGGGGCAGTGAGCAGGGGGCCGTGGGGTGGGCCAGCCAGGCCTGGATGCTGCCTCCAGGCTCTACATAGGGCACCTGCCAGCCCCACACCCCTTTCTTGGAGCAAACACGGAACAAACAGGGCAGAAGCCAAGAAAGAAAAGGAAGGGCTTGGCACAGCTGGACAGTGGAGGGAAGAGAGAGTGCCAGTCTGGGGCCTGAAAGCAAGACACCTCTGCCCTGGGGCCAGGCAGCCCTCGCCCCTGAAGGGCTAGGTGGACTCAGCATTCGAAGAGATGAACACATAAGCTTTGGCTCCTGCAGAAAGACCCAGGGACCGGAAGAGGGAGGGAGAAGCCGGGACACTCCTGGGTCCAGCTTCACCAAGCCCAGTCCTACCAATCACAACAGAACAGCATGGAATAGACCAGAGCCAACCCTACTAGACTCAAGGCAGGAGGATTCACCACAGCCTTGGGGAGAACACTGACCTCCGAGCTGCCCTGTCCCCATGGACTCTGCCTCACTGAGGCCAACCAGGTGAGGAAGCCATCCACGTGCCCGCTCCCCCTCCCCCACCAGCTGGGGCCTGGAGCCAGTGGGCGGGTGAGGAGGAGGAGGAGCATCCCAGGTCAGGCTTCCCTGGGTGTGAGAAGCCCTGGATGCCGGCACATTCCCTGCCAGTCAGGTGTCCTCATCTGTCGAATGGGCGTGTTAACGTTTGACGTGCTGCCGGAGAATGAGCGTGTCTCTCATCCAGCTGCTCATTTTGCAAACAGACACCCAGGCCTAGAGAGAGGAGTCGACTCGCCTTGAGTCACCAGAGTTAGAGTTGGAGTGGGAAGCGTAAGGAGGTCGCTGTCTTGAGTCAGAGCAGGGTGTCTCTTTACTGTTCCAGAATGTTCTTGTGGTTTTAGTTCCACAAGCACATGCTCAATGCATCTGTGCTTAGCACTGCAGTGGGCCTTGTGGGGGGAAAGACAGGAAACAGTGCTTTCTCCCTGACTGAGCATCTGCCGGGTGCCGGGCGTGTGCTAAGCGGTGCTTGGAAATGATCTCAACTCCTCATCAGAACAGACCCCTAGGCATAGGAAGCGGTACCCACCTG